CCCAGGAACAGAAGACTGCAAGAAAAACCCACTTCGATTCCCTATGATTTCTTCTCGGACCACTTGGCAATCCTCATTTCCTGACCCCACCTATCCACCAAATTATCCTTAAAAATCTTGATTCCTGAGTTTTTAGGGAGACTGATTTGTGTAATAGTGAAACTCTGATCTCCTATACAGCCAGCTTTATGTGACTTAAACTCTCTATTGCAATCCCCCTGTCTTGATAAATCAGCTCTGCCTGGGCAGTGGGCAAGGATAACTTGCTGTGTGGTTACAGAATGATATAAGAGATTTATGAAGAAGACCCTTCACCTCTCCTTAAACAGTGGATCCTTATCCAGAGCTCAATCAGAGAGGTGGGACAAAGGCTTATTTGCCTCAATTCTTGTGAAGAGTTTCCCTGATATAAACCAGACACCCATGGATAATTTGGCAGAAAGAAAGAAGCAAGGGTGGTTCCCTTTCAAAAATTATTCATTCTTTCATTCTTCCAGTTATTCAATAAAAATTTTATAACAAAATGTCAGGAATGTTGCTAGGCACTATAGATAATAGTTGTCTCTGAACTCCATTGGATATAGACAAGTAATAAAAATTAAAACATTATGGTAAAGAACTCCATTGGATATAGACAAGTAATAAAAATTAAAACATTATGGTAAAAAGTGATGATGGCTTCCCCATTTTATCAAACTTCAGGAAATACAAAGAGAGAAGGAATACCCACACAGATAGTTCGAAACAGATACAGAGCTGAAGCATTCCTGAAGTCAACCAATAAAGTAAAGTAGGCAAGCAATATTTTTTATAGAGTATATTGGAAGTAAGAAAGTTATTGTCAGAATTCAAAAGACTGACGTTTGAGAAATTGCCTAAGAATACAATTTGGGAGTAGAAGCCCACATATATAGAGGTTTTTTTTTTTTTTTTTTTTAGAACCAGTGTAATTTCTTTCACCATGTTAAGGAAGTTCTGGGGAGCTCAATATAAACTCAAGCTCTTTACAGTTTTTCATAAATACACGTGTGTGTGCGCGCGCACGTGTGGGCTATAGTAAAGGATGTAGTTCGAACTATGGATGTAAATGCATGTAGCTCCCACCCCTCCTTCTCTAATACACACACCAGATTCTGTCTTTACAAACTCACCCATTATCCAAAGTGATGAAAAATAGAAAATAAAAATTCCAGAGGATAGCAAAAAAAGCATTATTTTGATTTTAAATTAAAATAATCAGCACTATTTTAGCCTAAATTAACAATGGCTGAAATTGTTATCATAAAAATAATAGATTTCTGACTTCCTAAATACAACCTGTTTTATCCGTTTTTGGATAATATAAAATATTCCAAGGGCTCAAATTGTTTTTAGACATCTAGCACTAGTTTCCAGCCTGTGTCCATTCTTCCCTTTCCAGGGAGAAGCAATTCATTGTTTTGTGTTTCAGGTTTGGGGGTTCCTCCCTCTGCCAACACTATTGCAGGTAGATTCCATGATTGCTTAGCTACACAGACTGTCTCTGAGACACATGTAAACATAAATGTCCTTTAGGAAGTTCTTAGGTATCTTCAACACATTCCTCAAAAGTCCTTGTTCTGCTTCCCAAACTACTTTTCTAGATTTAAATAAGTCCATTTTATATGAAAAATAACCCAAATAATATTTACTGCAATGTAAAAACTACACTTTCCAGGATATACAAACAGTCCCTATTGTGCCACATAGTCATCATTTCCTCATTGCAAGCATTTTTTCCCCACCCTTTACATTCTAAATTTAGTCATTTCATTATAGTTTGAGAAATGGTTCCATCATTTATCTGCCTTTTTCATTCAGTGGAAAATTATACAAAAGACTAGCACATTACCTTTCACCAATATTCATCATGGACAAATATACATGAGATTACAATTATTCTCAATTACTCATATTCCTGAAAGTGCATTGCATGTAATCACACATAATATGCTTTTTTCTCCATTATTCCTTTATTCATATTTGAACTTATATATTTCTACAAGTAATGATTTGAATTCAAAAAGTATCATCAAAAGAAAATGAAAAGGTTATATAAATGTCACTGCCTTGCTGTGAATATTACACGCTCTTGCTGAATTCAACTCTGAACATCTGGACTAGACTTCTACCGTAAAGAGAAATATATCTATGCATAAAATGGTGTTCCTAGCAATAGTTTTTTTTTTTTTTTTTTAAACATAGAAGAGGCTTGAAAACATGAAAAAGTCCTTCTAATCACACACTTACACATACAGTACCCTCATTCGTCTTCTCTATATAGCAAAGCTGGATATTATTAAGCAACTTCATACTGCCCCTCCTGCTCCTTCTCTTCTTGGTACTTGTATATAAAAACGTTTTGACTGGGCGTGGTGGATCAAGCCTGTAATCCCAGCACTTTGGGAGGCTGGTGAGCGCCGACCACTGGTGGTCAGGAGTTCATTACCAGCCTGGCCAACATGGTGAAACCCTGTCTCCACTAAAAATACAAAAATTAGCTGTGCATGGTGGCACATGCCTGTAATCCCAGCTACTCAGGAGGCTGAGGCAGGAGAATCACTTGAACCCAGGAGGTGGAGGTTGCAGTGACCCGAGATTGCGCCACTGTACTCCAGCCTGGGCTGGGTAACAGAGCAAGACTCCATCTCAAAAGAAAAAAAAAAAAATTCACGAATCCAACCTGGTGATCTTTCCCTTTCAGAAGCCCTCTCTCCGGTGAGAGAGAGAGGGCTGTCCTTTCTCTTTCTTCTGCCTAGTAAACCTCTGCTTCTAAACTCCTCATCTGTGTCCCTGTCCTAAATTTTCTTAACATGAGAGGATGAACCCCCCGGTGTTTACTCCAGACAATGTATCCACTTCATCATCAATCTGATTGTGGTATAAATAACAGATAAAGAAGAAACTCCAAAGTAGATTTCTTTGCCATAAACTTGAAATGGCCCTTCAAAGACATTTTTTGTGGAGGACAATCTGTATGTATCTAGACCTTTCCCCTTCCACGCCCTTCCAAACCTGAGGAGATCAACTAAGAGTTTATTTTAAGGTACCTTTTAAAGGTTTGAATAAGAAACACTTGCCAACTATTGTCTCTAAGGTGACCACCTATGATAATTGATCTACATGATAAGAACCTCGGTGTCCACAACCTCCTATCTTAACCCAGTCACTCTTTTCTATTGATTCTGGGTCTTTAGATAATAACTTGACCAAACAAATATACCCTCACATGCGTTCACTGATGTGTCTTATGTCTCCCTAAAATGTGTAACATTAACCTATAACCAAATCATCTTGGTCACATGTTCTCTGGAACTCTAGAGGATGTGACTTGGAGTAGGTTCATTCAAATTTGGTTCAGAATGAAGCTCTAAATATTTTGCAAAATATTTTGCAAAAATATTTAGAATTCAAACCTTCAAAAATCAGAGCATGCCAATTAAAATCTAGATAGGCTTTTCTAAGCCAGCTAATTAAGAAAGAGGACGTAGGGCTGGATTTTTGTTATTGTCCTTATAGGTTACATAATAATGACAATAATGTCACTGATGACCATAAGGCCTATATAAAAACTGAATCTTTTTGTATCCATATTTTTCTCCCTTTTTAAATGCTTTGGCTTTTTGTTGTTGTTGTTGTTTTTTAATAAGTAATATGGCTATTGCAGAAATCTAGAATATAATAAAGAATTTACTAACAATCCCACTACCCAGTAATAAAATTTTCTCATTTTTTTCCTTTTTAATGACTTTTGTGAAAAGTAAAATGTTCCTCTTCAAAGTTTGCTTTTTTGTTAAAGAGTAAATCAGTGTTAGAAATAATGGTTTATTTTAAAAACAAATTTCCTTCAAGCTTCTTTGCTTTTTGCTAATAACACTTTGTTAAGCCCTATGTAGCTGTTAAAGATAGTAAGGGAATAAGTACATTCCATTTCCTTGTACCTTAACCAAATTATTTGTTCTGTCCTATAGCTGCTCAGACATGTCTGAACATGCCCATGCATTTCCTGGCTTACCGCCTATGCCTCTTCCTTATTTGGAAATGTTTTTATCTTCCTAGTTTCCCATAAACAAACCCCTTCCTTTCTTCGTTCTCCATCACACAAGTTTGCCTATTTAAGAAAGTTTTAAGTTTTTAGCCAGTGGGGATCAGTCTAGATTGTGTTGTCCAGCTCCAGCCAATGGAGACAGGACACAGCAGTAAGGACCCGATGTGTCAGAGATGAAAACCTCTGCTTTTCTTTGTTCGTGGTGCTCTTGTGACAATCAGCTTCCAAGAAGCATCATTTCTGCAGAAAGTAAAATTGCCTTGCTGAGAAAATTTTTTGACTTTGCTCCAGTTCTTCTTTCTGGCACCAAGGAACGAGCATTTGCTTCTAACTCTTTTAATTTTAAAAATAAGTAAAGTATGAATATTGAGAGAATTTAGAAAATATATGTAAAAAATTACTCATAATCCTCCCACCCACTGATAGCCTATATTTACTTCTACTTTAATATATATACTTCTCTGTAACTAAAGTATGAAAAGATTTTAGTCTTACATTATTTTCCACATATATTTATTAATGGATAATTTATTATGTTATTCTTTAGAAATATAAATTTGAATATCTGCATAATTTTCTATCTTGTTTCTGTATGATGTCATTTAACCTTCCCCTACTGAGATATTCTTTTAAATATTCTTAATTTGAGTTAATAAATATGAGTTAAGTTAGATCTCTCTGTACTGCTTGCTCCATTTTTCTAGCATAATACTTGGGCTAAGAAAAAAGATAATATTTAGGGATTTGAAATATAGTTCTTATTTTACATCAAAAATTACTTTATAGTACAGCTTTCTCATATACAATTTTCTACAATATTATGGTAATAAATAAAATTTAAATAGTAGAATAACAGCAATAATGAAACACATATTCAGTATGTTTCGACATTATTTTCTCCTGTAGAGAAATTAAAAATTTCAGAATTCTGTACCTGGGGATATGATGTAGAAGAAATCTTTAAATTCATCCATCCAAACTTCTGCCAATCTCCTGTTGTTCTTGTTGATGACATGACCCGTGCCACCAGGAAAAGTGTATGGAGTTGCCTTGCGAAAAACATGACCAACATGGGAACAAGTAACAATCTCCAAGGAGCCTCCACATTGCCAAATCTGAGAAAAGGAACAATCATTGTAAATAATGCAATAATACTGGATGAGAATAAGCCACTGAAGCTTAGGCCAAATCTTCAGATCTTAAATGTTTCAAGCAAAATGCTGATGCAAAATTTAGAACTAGTATACTACACTTACTTTTGGCAAAGGATGCTAATTTGAAAGATCTTGATATATTTAAATACCTGTAGCATTGGAATTATGTAGGTAAGATATAATTAATTTGTGTCTCTTTATTAGAGTACCTAATTTCTAGTTTTTAATAGTTAACCCAATTGCTAGTTAGTAGTTTGGTATCCAAATCTGCTATTAATAAATTTGTACATGTTAGATGCTGTGGTCAAAAACTAAATTTGATTTGAAGAAAAATCAATTATTCTCCACCCATCTGGAATTATAAATGACCATTCATTCTAAGCTGTTCATATTCCTTGCAGCTTAAGCCTTTGGACTTATTATGTGCTAGGATGCCTTTATAGGTGCTCAATGTCCACATAACCTTCAAAACTCATCTTCACCAAGATCATTTCTTCTACAAAGCTCTGGGGGAGATTTAGTAATGTGTACCTTTTGTATTTTAAGTATGCTTTTTTTGAAGAACTGACTATTCACTTCCTTATCACTCCTTTAAAACTATAAATTCTTAGAAAATATACCATATATTTCTTAGTATCCTAGATTCACTGTGTATTTAAGGCTAAGTATTATGTAAAGTATCCATAAAATGCTTATTTCTGGCCAGGCACAGTGGCTCACACCTGTAATCCCAGCACTTTGGGAGGCTGAGGCAGGCAGATCATGAGGCCAAGAGATCGAGACCACCCTGGCCAACATGGTGAAACCCTCTCTCTACTAAAAAATACAAAAATTAGCTGGCTGTGGTGACATGCACCTGTAGTCCCAGCTACTTGGGAGGCTGAGGCAGGAGGATTGCTTGAACCCAGGAGGCGGAGGTTGCAATGAGTTAAGATCACACCACTGCACTCCAGCCTGGCGACAGAGCGAGACTCTGTCTCAAAAAATAAATACTTATTTCTATGAAATTACATTTTATAGCCATAGCTTATGCTAATTGTTTATATATGTGTGTGTGTGTACATACAATACTATACATACAATTTTATATATACATATATTAAATATATGCTACAGATTTTCTTGTCACAATAAATAGAAGTCATAGTTAATGCTATACAAAATTTGGAAGACATGGCTTTATACTATAATTAACATTGTTTTCATTTGATACGTCTAATTTAAGTAGAGTTACTATTTTTGAAAGAAAAATATCTTTCTGGACATTTCCAGCCAGGTGCAGTGGCTCATTCCTGCAATCCCAGCACTTTGGGAGGCTGAGGCATGAAGATCACCTGAGGTCAGGAGTTCAAGACCAGCCTCGCAAACAGGGTGAAACCCCATCTCTACTAAAAATACAAAAATTAGCCAGATGTGGTGGCACATGCCTGTAGTCCAACCTACTTGAGAAGCTGAGGCATGAGAATTGCTTTAACCTGGAAGGCAGAGGTTGGAGTGAGCCAAGACTACACCATTGCACTCCAGCCTGAGTGACAAGAGTGAAACTCTGTCTCAAAGTATGGAGTACAATAGGGAAGAAAAAAAAAATAACTTTCCACCTGACCCTTCAGGTAACATTCAGCTTAGAAGAGAGCTGCTATTGGACTTGGGTAGCAGTAAGAGACATTCACTTTTTTATCAGAAGATAAAAGATGATAAATAATAAGTTATAATGGTTTGTGCATTTCATATAAATCTAATTCTTTCTTATTTTATAATTTTTTAAACAATATAATGCTAGCAGAAAAATAGGTCCAACAAACTCTGAGATAAGGATGAATATAAGAGAAGAATAGAAACCTTCATCTCCCTTAAAAAACAGGGAAGCGCATTCTTAAATAATCAAAGTATTTCATTGATTGATAACTCGCTCATCTTTCTAGCTTCATGAAATAAATGAAACTTCTTGTAATTACACACAGTTTTACATTCTTCCTTCCTGTTAAAATGGAGGCAGTTAATCTTTATCCTATCGAAGACAAATCAATACTTCTTTTTCAGCCCCCATTATATCCCTGGTATCGTTTTTAAGGATGCCACTAATTTAGTCATTCTCCTTGCTTTTCTCCTGAAATATTAATCATGTTTCTCATTACTAGATTATGTGTTTCTTTGCATAATACCTTTTAAAGTCATCTATCTTTCAAATAGCTTAAAAATTTATAAAACACAACAAAAAATCATCACTTGTTCAATATCTGTATCCTAGATATCTGTTTCCTTTTACCATTAAATAATATAAAATACATATCATTATTTTATATTTTATATATGTGTATATATATTGTATATTTTTTGTCATGGTAAAATTATGAATTATAAAATTTTAGCATATTTTTTCCTAAACAACAGGTAGGAAACAACAGTGAAAGCAGCAAGATAATTAAGATTCCATTGAATAGACAGATGAGATGCTGGGGATTAGGACAAGAATGGTGGCAGTGGAAACAGAGAGAAATGGTGCCTGGTTCCTAAAAAACATGTATCACTAATATGGTAAAAATATATTTTAGTGATACATGTTCTTTCCCATCCTCAATTTTCAGTTTTTTAATCTATTGTAAAAAATGATGTTTATTTCTGTAGCTACCCACAATTCCTCTGTTAGCTTCTAATTAGAATACTGCATTTCATTCCCTGAAATTTTTACAACGTCCGAACAGTGTAAGCTGAATAAAACATGATGTCTCATTCACGTGAACAAGTGATATCTGAATTACTTTGTATCACTGAGTATATCTGATTGTTATTTTCTAGGCTTTCAAAAGATTAATATTTTATATTATATCTCTTTCAAGTAAATTTGACCATGTATACAGTATAAACTATGCTATCATCCACAGGGAATTAAAACTTGTCTTTGTTCCCAGATATTTTTATAAATGTCTTCTGATGATGGAGAAGGTTCTTAAACAAAATGTAAAATGCCCATTGCTCATTTGATTATCTAGTTGATTTTCTTCCCCTGCTAGGAGACAATTAACTAACATAGTTTATCCTTTTCATGTTTTTTGGCACCTACGTCAGTGACATTTTAATTAAAGTTCATAAACTTCATAATCTCCACTTTGCAATCTCAGTTCTAGTGCTGCTATTGTTTCTAATTTTACAGCTGTTGTGACAAATTCATGCAGCTGCTTGTTTTTATATTTATCTTTCTCCTAACGCATACACATACTACCTCTGGCACAAAGTCATTGTTTAATATAGCCTTAATGAAAACAAACAACAATAATATACAATGGAGGCCATGTAGCACAATGATTATGAGTAAAGGCTATAGCTCCTGATATTATATCCCAGCTCTTCAACTTACTAGCTGGGTGACCTTTCTGTGATTTGGGTATAAGACAGTAAAATGAAACTAGAAGCATCTAGCCCAGAAATCCTGCTAAAAGAACACTGTTGTGAGGATTAAGGCAATTTAGTTCACATAAAAATACTTAGCTTTGGAAAATGAATTGGAATGGAGTGAATGAGTGATTTATTGAGGAGTTATTCCAACAATCTAGAATAGAGATGATGACTTTGCCCATGCTGATGCCAATGAAATAGAGAGAATTTAATAACTTGACAAAATTTGGGAAATAAGAAATAATATATGAGGGTATGTCAGCAACATGGTGAAAGAGCAGTCTCTGGGCTACCCCTCATCCCACAGACACATCTAGTATACGCCTACACATGAGTCAGTTCTCTCCAAGAGAAAGCCAAAATATAGATGAAAGACCCCTACATGTCAGACTACTGAGAAATAGCCAAAATATAGATGAAAGACCCCTACATGTCAGACTACTGAGAAATAATCACATTAAAATGGATACTGAAAGCAGAAATATACTCATACTTTAGCTCCGCCATGAGCACAGAGCCTTACAAACGAGAAGAAGAATCCCAAGTCCTAGCTTCTTCCTGAGGTGTTGAGCGGCATGTACCACATATAAAGTGCCAAATTTTGCAGTTTCTATGGAGGGCTTGGCTCTTCAATCACCATGCTTGATGAACCACAGGGACAGGACATCAGAAGATTTCTCTCAAGCACAAATGAAAAAAAAAGGAAAAAAGGTTCATATTATATGAGCCCTCCTAGCAACTGTAGCACTCAGGATTGGCCCAGCTTCTAAATTCCCCCAAATTTGGTCTCAGGCTTTCCCATGGTTCTGGCTTTTTTTTTTTGAGATGGAATCTCTATCTGTTGCCCAGGCTGGAGTGCAGTGGTGTGATCTCAGCTCAATGCAACTTCCATCTCCCAGGTTCAAGTGATTCTCCTGCCTCAGCCTCCTAAGTAGCTGGGAATACAGGTGCGCCACCATGCCTGACTTTTTTTTTTTTTTTTTTTTTTTGTATTTTTAGTAGAGATGGGGTTTCACCATGTTGGTCAGGCTGGTCTTGAACTGCCCTAGTACTCCACCCACCTTGGCCTCCCAAAGTGCTGGGACTACAGGCTTGAGCCACCAAGGCCAGCCAGTTCTGGCCTTTTAACAAGCCAGTATCTGGGAAACTACAGAGCAAATAAAGAATAAACCTCCTCCAGCTTAAATGGAAAGGAAGACATGTCCTGTATGTACCTTCTTCTCTGGCTTGCTCCTAAGATAAATTCCTGCAATATCAGTCTACCCCTGCAAGAGAGGTTATAAAAGTTCTGCTTGCTTTAATAGGATAGTAGACATTCTCCTTGCCTCCTTCCTTGGCTTGTTTTTGAGATAAATTTCTGCAGTCTCTCATTAGAGAGAAACTGGGGGACTTCTTCATTCCTGATTGGAAAAGTGGGTATTCTCTGCACCTTCTTCCCTGCTTGGTTTCAGTGATAATTCTGGACTACCTTCTTCCACTGCTAGGAGGGTGTGACGCTTCCGCTTGTTTGAACAGGAGAATGGGCTCTCCCTGCATATTTTTCCCTAGCATGCCCCAGCAGTAAATCC